GATTTATAAAGCCATTGTTTTTGTTAAACAGGAAAAATGCATTCTAATATTGTTTTCGATTTTTAATGATTGCATTTATTCTACAATCTATATTACCTACAAGATTTTATAAAAATATTTTGCTACTCTTCGTTAATAGCATATTCTAATTCTTTAAAATTGTATGTAAAGTTTTCTATAATATGCGCGTTTACTAAAAATATATAGATAATTACGATAAAATGTGGATTTTACTCGAAGATGTTGATTTATGGACTTGCATATAAAGCATAAAAATAATTTTGTTAAACCCCAAAACCTATCATTAAATTATTAATTCATGACATGAATGTGACTGCATTATATATAATTTGGCCGGAATAAATTTTTTGATTTTTAATTTTCCTTCTAGCAAGGATTTCTCTATAATTAGATGATTAAATTCTGTAAAAATTTCTTTATTCTAGTTATATACCATTGTAGAATTAAAATAAAAGTGATTCATTAAATTTGGTCTAGTGGTCATCGAGAAATCTTTGTCTGAAATTTAAAAAAAATTAGAATATCTTAGAAAAAAGTAAATCGAGCAAAATTTCCTTTTTTTAAAATTATGCAAAGGTTTCTCGACAGCTGTCTATCCAAATTCGATGAAAAAGTTTTTTATTTTAATTCTAAGAGTTTATAGAATCAGAGTAAAAAAAAAATTTATCAGATTTGTATAGGATATTGTCGAGAAATATTCTCTAAAATTTGAAGAAAAAAATTGCTACCGTTCACGTGACTATATGCAGTCAGAATAATGTTACAAAAAAAAGTTCAAAGTAGAAAAGAAAAATTAAAAAATCGAAAATGACTCAAATTTATTATGACAACTAGTTTTCATTAGTGTTAGCATCAATGTTTAGGGTGTATCGGTATATTTAGTTAATATCGTTGTGAATCAATTAACCATATTACTATTAGGATCAGGATAGAGTGAATACATAAATTGCATAGTTTTTATTAACCTTAATAATAATCAGTTGTATATTTATATATAGATTATATATATATACTCACACACGAATACATGTTATATACAACGAATACAACATGTTATATATGTTATATACAAATTATATATCAAAGATTAAAACTATTTATGATACTCTTTTTCCTCATTATATTCTTGAAATTTTTTAAAATCTTTATCCGATTCATAATATTTTCCTCCATCAAAATAATAAAGGTTTTCTTTAATGCAATTATTAACTAAATTTCGACCAGGATTTAAATCAATATTAAGTTCAAACCCAAAAGGAATAATAAATCTGTTTGGATTCTTTTTTTCGTTGAATTCTCGCTTAACTTCTAATGGTAATCTCCATAAGTCATTTGTTTTTCTTTTGGTGAATATTTTAGAAATGAATTGTCTAGAATTAATCGGATTATTGGTCGGAGAAATAGTAAACATCGAAGGTTTTTTGATAAAAATTCTTATCGGTTTTTCAAGTAGTTGGATTTGAATTGGTTTCACTCGTGTTTTATGAGTAACCAAAGAAAAATCGGTAGTAGGTACGGGATATACAAAAAGTATAATTGATGAAATTATTGGTGTTTTCCACTTCTTTGACGAGTAATAACGTAATGCATGGTTGATCTTGCGCGGAATGAAGAACGTGCGACATCTTTGTGAATTGTAATACTGTTGAATGAATTCAACCGTTCGTTTTAGTGTGCCTTGATAATTAAAAAAATGTTTGAATATTCCACATATCAGCCTCTGAAACTCTAAATACAATCTCTTTCATCCTTAATAATTTTTTTAAGTCTTTGTTTTTATGTAATCATCTTACCTTCTTGTTCAAATACTACTTGGATAATACATTTTGTATGCGGCAAGTACGCTTGATCCTCGGGAATTTCCATTCTATCCATTAAGAATTTTGACTATGCAATCTTCATGAAATAAAGAACTATAATTCAAGTTATCGTAACTAATTATCCAAAGTCGATCAACTAAGGCAATGAAACAGAAAAAATATATATTTAGTTATATAGCTGACTTAATTCTTTTTATTCACTTATCAATCATTGATATTTTCAATAAAATCAACATTTTTGATCGCTTGAATTTCGATGCATTATTGTTTGATTTGGATCTATCAATTAATTTTGATAAAGATTCTTTTGTGAATGCATAATTGTCTATTTATATCTTTTATTCAAAAAATTGATCAAATGCTATAAGAAATCTCATTTATATAGTTATTTAATAGCTTCGAACACTATTTTGCAGATCATAAAGTTCACAAAAGTATGTTAAAAAGAAATTAATTACTTTGATCAAGTTTAGAGTTCGCCTTCATTAATAATGGGAATGACCTGGAGATTTTTCATGCCTTTATATAGGTACTAACTCTTTTTGAATTAATCATAATAGAGTGTGCATGATAACCGTTATCAAAATGTCCGTTGATTAAAGTGATTAAAACGTACGTGCGTAAGTTATAAATTATAATAATCATGCATGCAACATAATACTAGAATTAAAATGTAGGTTCACTATATTTTTTCCTTTTTAGTATAGTAATGGATAAAATTTATGACCCACTATATTTTTCCCTTTTCAGCATGAAATCGATAAAATTTATAAGCATTGCCGACTAGAATATAATGGTTTATTTTACAATTTAAACCTACTTACGTATGTTACTTTTTTAATCTATATTTTTTCCTTTTTAGTATAGTAATGGTTAAAATTTATAACCCACTATATTTTTCCCTTTTCAGCATGGAAATGGATAAAATTTATAACCGCTAAAGCATTACCGACTAGAATATAATGGATTATTTTATAGGTTTAAACCTACTTATGTATGTTATTTTTTTTAATTAATGGTAGATCACAATTGAAGGGTATAAATTTCATAGTAAAAGTCGGTGAAGAAATACCACTACTCTCATATAATGGAATGCCAAAAGTTCTTGGAAATATGTAGCCATATAGTTATGAAGGAGAAAAATGCCAATAACAACTCGCGATCTACTAGAATCGGAATAACTTGTTCTATAATATTTGTTAGAAACTCAAGGAAGAATTACTTAAAAAACTTTTCATTGTAAGCTAGCTGCATTCTAACCTTATAGAAAAACTATATCAACTTCCGACAATTTCTACTATTGTTTATACCCTTTAACCCTTAAAATGTTAACGCCTAATATATATATATTGATTTATAGTATGTGTATTTGTTATTTAATAACTATATAGTTTTTAAATTGCAAAAATCAAAATGTGAATTTACATTTTATACTCCTTTACTGATATCGATATTGTCATATCGCGCGCCCCAAACTCCAGGGGCGACCGTCCCATCAATTTGTAGATCGTTACACAATTGATAAAGGTTTTTTTTATATTGTTTTACAATAC